TTTTGATTGGAAATTTTTTTCTCAAAAAATGGCGGTGTAGCACAAAAAGTTCAGCGACTAAGTGACTTGCACTATAGTAAGTACTTTTTTCATTTGACATTACACAGCACAAGTGGTCGGATATTTATGGTAGGTGAGTGTACATAAGGCTAATTTGACCACGTTTCTCCCGATGATACAATGATGTTGAAATCCAGGGGGGGACGCAAAGCTCTGGAGTTTACTGAGACTGCATCAATCGTCAGGATGCTTTCACTAATCTCCCCAGACCAGAGATGGCTGCTGGCATGCTAGCCGAAAAGTTGTCTGCAATGATCCTACCTCTAGGGCAAGGATGGCACTGTGACCAAGTCGCAACTCTGCTGATGAATTGTAGTGCCATGTAAATATCCAGATCTGTCAAAGCAATGAGAATCTGCAACTCATTCCAAGCACAGGAGGTCACAATTCAGAGCAGGGTTGGTGGCCCTGAAATTGCATTTGGGCTCTGATGTTAAGAGGAAGGTTGTAAAATAGTGTTTGTTTTGTATAACCACTTTCATAAATGCTTTGTTTCTCTGATGCTAACCAATTTATAATTTTGGGTAAGGATTGAGATGGGTTTTGCCCAATCAGTTCTCCTGTTATATAGTTTAAAATTATCACATGATTATATACATCCTTTTCAGCAATATGGCCAACAAGAAAAAAGCCATAAAAATGGTTTGGATTTTATTTGGTATGTTATAAATTAATCATTCCCAAATTCTCTGCTTTTCTCTAAATTTTTATTTGACCAACTGAATTTGTTATTTTAGTAAATGGGGGTAGGGTTGTTGGTGAGTAGGCATGCCCACTGACAAGACAGGGGATGCCTTTGGGATATACCAGCTAAACTCATAGAAAGGATCTTTTGTCCAGACTTTGGGTCATATGGATGTTAAGCACAGAAAATGTACACTATCAATGCATATTTTTTTCAACAAAAAAATAAACATTTAAATAATTATTTGTTAAATATTAATACTTTTCATTTCATAAAAATCACAGCAACCAGTACTCAAAACTCTGAATTCAGGGAAAACTAAAACAGTGACCTCCTGAGTTGCAGAATTTTCAACCAGTTGCAGGTGCCAACTTTTTTTCTAGTGTGGCAATAACACAAAGCAATCATCACACAAGCACCAGCTATCAGTGATCAATGCCAATATGGTGACAGCCAAGCCTGATCTGAGAGGAAGATAAGGGAAAGTTTTGTCCAAAGCCTTCCAACATGTTCAAGGAGCTTTCACCTGTGGAAAGAAAATTCCATGGTGCTGAAAGGTGCTTAGTTGCACCGACTTGCGTGTTTGTGGCAGGAAAATTTTTGTTAAATCTGACACCTGCAATCAACATCAAATTTATTATTCATAAGGAACCATAATTGATTGGTGCTGAAAGGTGCTTAGTTGCACCGACTTGCGTGTTTGTGGCAGGAAAATTTTTGTTAAATCTGACACCTGCAATCAACATCAAATTTATTATTCATAAGGAACCATAATTGATAATCAGGAAAAGTAATTTATTATTGTGAATCCCAGAGATCTGGGTAGACACACATTGTTAAGAGTTTCATTTCTGCATGGCCTTGGTGTTATTACTACTTGGGTGATGCAATTGTTTGTTATGTCAATGATGATATCAAATGTATTGAATAATCATTGTGATGAATGTGAGGACAAAGGAATTTGTATATGAGGAAAGGATTAAATAATAACAAAAAAGCTAAGTCAAGGTTGAATAAGATCCTGGTTAAAAATGAAATTCTCAAAGGAAATAATTGTGCCGCATTACCAGGTACCAGCACACATGAACCACTACATATATTAAACAATATTATGGAAGATGCAAGGGAGAAAAAGAA